CATCTTAATAAACTACTGTTTATCATTAGTTAATTAGTGAATATTAACAGTGTTATTACTCTCTCCAGGCTGTTCCTGGGCTCCATCTTAATAAACTACTGTTGTGTGAATATTAATAGTGTTATTACTCTCTCCTGGTTTATTATTAGTTAATTAGTGAATATTAATAGTGTTATTCCTCTCTCCAGGCTGTTCCTGGGCTCCGGCTGGGGCTGGACCTCCCTCTTTGCGGGCTCCTTCCTGTTCTCCTTCTCCTTCTCCGTCCGGCGCTCCCTGTCCCTCTCCCTGCGGCACCTGTCCCGTTTGGGGGTGTCCGGGGGCCTGTGGCTGGGCTTCTGCCGGCTGCTGGACCTGCTGGAGAACAGCACGGGCAGCTGCTACGAGCCCCTGCAGGAGGCCCCCGGGGGCCCGGGGCTGCTGGTGCTGAGGGAGGGGCAGACCCGGGGCGGGTGCCGGGGGGGGGGGCTGGTCTGGCGGGGGTACGAGGTGTCGGAGGACGTGTTCCTGCTCTGCCTGTGCTGCCTGCTGCTGGTGGAGGAGACGGCCGTGTTGGGGCCCTTCCTGAGCGGGGGGGGGGCGGGCGGACGGGCCCCTGAGGGTCCTGTTCCTGCTGAGCGTGCTGCTGCTGGGGCTCTGGCTCTTCCTGCTGCTCTGCCTGCTGGCATACTTCCCGCAGTTCCCCGCCCAGCTGCTGGGGGGCGCCCTGGGCTGCCTCAGCTGGAGGGGGCTCTACCGGGGCTGGTTCAGGATGGGGCCCTCCTGGTTCTGCCCCGGGAGGCCCGGGCAGGGACTTCTGCACGCCAAGGCAGGGGAGCCTCTCAACCACAACCACAACTAACTGAGATAAAACTGTCTAAAAACTCTAACAATATGTCTGAAATAAACTCCATCATGTCAGGAACCACCACAACTAACTGAGATAAACTGTCTGAACACTGGAACATTAAGTCTGAAATAAGATCCATCATGTCCGGATGAGAGGCCTCATTTAAACCTGGTTTCACACATCTAATCAAACTTTAGTTTCCAGCCTTAAACTCTTGACAGAACAAAGCAGAATGACTAACAATAAAAAAGTAAACTAACAATAGAAAATGGTTTACAGTAATGTGTTAATAATTAGGGGTTTTTCTGCCTGCAGGAACATAGAAATGAGAAACTGGTGAGGTGAGACGAAAGGAAAGGTGAAAATATAAAAATCAGGTTAAACTTTTCACATATTTTATCATTCATTTATGATTATAATTATATATCTTAATTATAATATATGTATATATATATATAATATATATCATATATATAATTATTATAATTATAAATAAATAATTCATTTATGGCTTAACATAAAAACAGATTTAGATGTGTAATAGGGGATGAACACCTCACCCAGTTAACTGTTCCTTAATCCTTAATAAACTAAATCTTCACCAAAACATCACATTTTTTATCCCCTTCAATCAGGCATTTGTACTTAAAGGCGACTAATTAAATTAAGACATGTCACAGAAACTTTGATTAAACAAAATAAACACTAAACAAGGAAGTGGTAGCACCCATTTCTTCCCAAACGTGTTTTATTGATAAACATCTCCAGAAAGAGCGTATGTACAAACAGGTGAGACACAGGTGAGCAGAGACCTACGGTACAGAGGGAAACGGGCCGAAACCCTCCAGACCAGCAGCCGGACACACGGAGACGAGGGGGAACTCCTGGATGTTTAGTCTGGAAAACTCGAGCTTTTCCGCCCGGTGCTGAAGCCGGAGGACACAAATGTCCGATTTCCTTCATTAAAAACTCCAGAAACATCCGGCTCAGGTCCTTTCTCTTCGGGGGGAAAAACAAAGCCATAGTCTGTTTGTTTGTTTTGGCCTTTTGAGGACTAATAACATCAGTTTCTGCCCCCCCCC